TCTGTGTACCAGCTGGTGGTTGGTGATCTTGGCACAGGAGTGTGTAACATGAAGCTAAAGGTGTACCGTGGCACTGGTCTTTTGAGTGAAAGCACCCTGCTGGACCTGCCCACTGGCCTGGTCTCCTTTCTCATGGACCTGCACGAGCCACGAACGCCAGCCATCGCTGTGGCCTCCGGTCCCTTCATCTACGTCTACAAGAACCTGAGGCCCTACTTCAAGTTCACGCTGCCTAGTCTGGAGGTGAACCCTCTGGAGCAGGATGTCTGGAGTCAGGCCAAGGAGGTAAGCTGTTCTTCATCCTATACCCTATATCTACATTCAGCTCTATGCATTATGTCATTTGTGAGACTCTTCACTGTGGTTTCATTTTACTGATTGTTTTTTGCTGCTTAGGACATGATTGATCCAATGACGCTTAAGGAGATGTTAGAAGGTTTAAGGTGAGTTACTGTACAGTATGTACTGTATTTGGGCTCTAAATCCAATGCACTTTATGGCTTGTAAAGTACAGCATGATACAATACATGTGGATTTTACAGTTACAACACTTTATTGATTCCTCTTGAACAGGGACAAAGCAGAAATTCCACTCTCTGTCAGATCACTACGGTAAAACCTCTTCCGCTCTTAACTTTTTCAGTGTATTATTATTTTAACTATAGGATTCATATACCTATATGGAACTTGTAGTAGTAGGAACAGTAACTGTTCCCATTTGCTTGGTCTTTTTCACACATATTTTTTAATAAACTAATGAACAAACCTCAAATATTGATATTATTTTTGTTGGGGTAAATATTGTGTAAAATGTGTTTATTTAAAGGGATAATTCACAAGAAAATGAACATTTTCATCATGTGCTCACTCTCATGTCATTTTAAATGCTTGTGAATTATTTTTTTCTGTGGAACACAAAAGAACATACCCCCCATCTTATGGATAAAAAACACTAATATTCTTTAAAAAAAAAAATATATATATTTATATTTATGTTCCACAGAAGAAAGAAAGTCAAGTAATAAAGTAAAGCAGTAAAGAAAAAAAAATTCAAGGTGATACAACTGTCCTAATATCATAATGGAACTAAAAAAAAACTCCCTAAAAGGATGAAAAGAAAATCTTAGTGTTTAGATTGGCATAATCTTTTTCACAATTTGTTTTTAGAAAAAAAATCAAAGTTAAATGTATGCAACTAACATAAAAAAAACAAACAAACATATAAGTGGAAATATCATCATCATTTTTTTTACCTACTGATTCATTGCATTTCTTGTGTAAATTATTCAGGTTCCTCATGCTTGAGCCACAGGAAATGGAGAATTTCGTTTTTCTTCATAAAGAACAGCCTATACGTAGACAGGTGCCAATATCTACATCTATAGATATACGCAATCAATCACACATTGACAAACAAAAACAGATGCACTAACAGGGCTTTTGTCTCTTTGTTTGTCTCAGACGGTCATTACCTGTATAGGGACGCTGAAGAAGAACATGGCAGATGAGGATGCAGTTAGCTGCCTGGTGATTGGCACAGAGAACGGTGATGTTTACATATTAGACCCAGAGGCCTTTACCATCCTCTACAAGGTCAACGCCTGCTTCATATGTGCTTGTTACACACTATATTCTTTTATTAGCGTTTGGCTTTATTCCTCTGAAGTTTCATCAGAATATAAGTGACTTCCTTCACATTTAGTTCTAAAGTAAATTGATTTCCCCAAAAGAATGAACTGTGTGTTTTTTTAGATGTCACTTCCCAGTACACCTACCCTAATGGATGTGACGGGTCAGTTTGATGTGGAGTTCCGTATCACTGTGGCATGTCGCAACGGCTACATCTATATACTACGCAGGTAACTGAGTGAATAGCAACTTATTTAAATATTTTGA